ATTGATTTAAATGTAAATTTTTAAGATTGTATTAATTTCTATGACTTTTCCAGGTCTTTTGAAATTCTCAGTGAAGACAAAGAACCTGACGCTGGAAACTGGGTCTGTATCTCATAGCCTCAGAGTTTAGTTTTGGGCAGGATGCCGCTGTAACGATAGCATCATTCTGAGAGAGTAGAGTGCAGTAACTGTGATTCCTCCAAACTAGGACTGAACACTAGAACAGCAGAAAACCTCGTGAAGAGCTGACCTGAAGTCTGACGTGGCGCTGAAGGACTCGGGCTCTGTGATGGAGAAAAGCAGAAGGAAACCCTCTCCGCTGCGGAAGTAGTTGTCCCTGATGGCGGCGTAGTCTTCCTGCCCCGCCGTGTCCAAAATATCAATCTGCACCTCCTCTCCATCCAGGACCACCTTCTTCCGGTAACTGTCGGCCTTGGTGGGCTCGTAGTCCTCCACAAACTGAGGCGAGCAACGCAGATTACAAAGTGATAGTTATAACAGTAATAGTTTCTCCTGTAGAATCAGTGTTGTTATTGTTAACTAAAACAAGTACTATTAAAAATCATGTTTGTTATTAAGAATAAACGGTAAATGAAATAAAATATAAACATTAGACGAAAAAATTAGAGTTAAAAAATGAAATTACAAATGTAGACTTTCAGTTGTTTTCAGTTGACTTCAGTGTACAAATTTCAGTTTTAGTTTTAGTCATTTTAGCACTTTGACAAATGTTAAGTAAAGATTACTAAAAATAAAAGTACTACAATTACTCAAACTAAAATAAAAATAAATTAAAGCTAAATAGAATAAAAAAAAACGAACTGAAAAAAAAAAATAAGTTAGAGTACTAAATTTACTAAAACTGAAATAAAAATTAATTAAAGTTAAATAGAAATGTAAAAATAAAAAAGTTGAAGTTGATGTACTAAAATTACTAAAACTAAAATAAATAAAGCTAAATAGAAATATAAAAAAATAGAAACAACCTAAATGGAATCAAATAAGTTTAAGTATTGAAATTACTAAAACTAAAATAAGAAATAAATTAATGCTAAATAGAATTATTAAAAAACGAACTGAAATAAAATAAGCTAGAGTACTACATTTACTAAAACTGAACAAAAGACATTAAAGTTAAATAGCAATGTAAAAATAAAAAAGTTGAAGTACTAAAATTACTAAAACTAAAATATAAAGAAATAAAGCTAAATAGAAATATAACAAATAGAAACAACCTAAATGGAATCAAATAAGTGTAAGTATTGAAATTACTAAAACTAAAATAAGAAATAAATTAAAGCTAAATAGAATTATTAAAAAACTAACTGAAATAAAATAAGTTAAGAGTACTAAATTGACTAAAACTGAAATAAAAATACATTAGAGCTAAATAGAAATATAAAAAACAATAAAACTAACTGAAATAAAATAAGTTAGAGCACTAAAATTAATAAAACTGAAATAAAAATATATTAAAGTAAAATAGAAATGTATTTTTTTTTTTAAAGTTACTAAAACTAGTAACTAAAAAATTAATAAAACTAAACCTGAAATAAAAATGAATTAAAACTAAATAGAAAAAAAAAATAAAAAAATAAATAACAAAAGCACATAACAAAATTACTAAAATGAAAATTAGAAATGTTGCCTTGGCAACTAACTGAAATAAAATAAGTTGAAATTCAAATAAATGAAAGCTAAAAAAAAATACATATAAAAAATAAATAAAAAATGACAGTACATAAAAAAAATGAGTAAAACTTTAAAATTAAAACTGAAAATATGTTTAAAAAGCTAATTAAAAATGTAATAAAAACTATAATAATACAAAAATAACACTATATGGAATACAAAAAGACGCGACAGCTGTGTAAATGAAGGACTTTTGAAAGAACTATTCCTGTAGCTCAAATAAAGATCATGACTGATGTGAGAACATGCGTCTCAGTGTTGAGCTCACCTCGTCATACATGAACTGCAGCGTTAGAGCTGATTTCCCCACGCCGCCGCTGCCCACCATGATCACCTTATGCAGAACCAGCGAACTCTGGTTTTTGCTCTTATTTGCTGCCATGACTTTAGTGCTCCAGAAGAAGAAACAGAATGAGACTGCAAACATGCAAAAGAAAAATAATCAAATTCAAAGACACGTACATTTATACATATAAAACCATTGCTTATCATTGATGCATACAACATATCCAATGACATGCACCTTAAATTTACATTAAAGTACATGATATAAAGTTTTTAGTGCTGAAAATCCCACATTATTACCATGCTACTGTATATGAATATAGTAATCATTGACTATTATGGTACGTAGTAAAAGTACAATGGGGCCACTTTACAGTCACTGAATTTTACTTTGTAATGGAAACAGCATCAGCGAATATTGATTATCAGTGAGAAACAGAAAACTGCAATATATTACTAAAACACCAGACATTTTTAAGCAGGTTGTTATTAAAATAACAAAAGCGATTTTCACTTTTCCACCCCTTCCTCGTTGTAATAGACGAGAGCCCGCCTTTTCTAACTCTTGATTGGTTGAGCAGACAAATTATGAGGCGGGGCCTCCTCTACTCGCGATATGATTGGATATCCAAACTGTCAATCACAGAGTTTTCCCACAAAGACATATGGGCGCATCAGCCGAGGAAATACCTCAAAACTGCAAAGTTGCTGTCTGCGCAAACGGATTAAACATTGTAAAACTGATCACAACAACGTAACCTCTTATAGATTACTCACCTCAAGTTTGATCTGTGGAGAGCCTTGGCCTGTATTCGCACATATAAACGGTTAAAACATAAGGGATCAAATCCACTACTCCCGTACAGCTACACAGCCCCGCCCACCGGTTATTCAAATCACGTGGATATGACGTCACCGCACCATATATAGATATTTCGACCTGGGTCGTGTTTATTCTTTAAATATTATTTGATGAATTTGTTACTTTTGCTGGCAAAGTTTAGTATACATAAATGCAAGTACGGTGATTATAAACCACTATTTCTAATTTTGAAATCAGAAGTTCAGCAGTACCTAAAATCTATTTATATTCTGATAAACAAGAAAGTTGTTTGTAAACATTTCCATTTATTTATTTATTTTATTTTTTATTTTTTCATTGTAATTTTGTGTTGTTTTTTTCTTGTCGTCACCCTCTGGCTACTGTAAAATGTTGAGTTATTCAATAAAAAAATAAAAAAAAAACTATGGTCGTGTTTACTTTCATGAATTGTATTAAAGTTATGAGATGCACAATTTATGTTTTTTTATTATTATTAAAGAACCTCAATTTACAAACTCTAATAGGGAACAATAATGTGCATCTATCAATCTATCTATCTATCTATCTATCTATCTATCTATCTATCTATCTATCTATCTAT